GAAAGATTATGAGTTATTTGAGCTTGAATTTAATTAAAAAATTAATTATATAAAGAGGATAACACATATCAATCTTAATTTTTATTAAAAAATTAAACTCCCAACTTAAAAATTATTACAATGTAATAAATATATTTAAAAATCAATTAAAATTAATATTTTATTAATATAAATCATGAATATTTATTTTTAAATTAATTTAATGTCTATAATTATTTGATAAAAAAATTTGTATTTTCTAATGTTTATTTAATGATGCTCAAATTTATATAATAAATTAATTAATTAGATTTATTCAAATAATCTAAGAATTAATATACAAGATTTATATAAATAAAATATTAAATTTAATAATAAAAATTTCAAAATATCATTAGAGGAAAGTATTTTTTAAATTGAAATTCAAAATTTTTATGAAAGTTGAAATTAATGTGTATTATTTTTTTGTATAAAATCTGTTGGGATTAGACCCAACACTCACTTCGGGCCACATGTAGCAGGCCTAACTATACACCCACGGACCCAAGCGGAGGGGACATACCCACGTGGGCAGCGCCACGTGGGCTAATGAGATGTCTACATGTACTGATGTATGTCAGCATTCGGGGCTATAAATACCCCTGACTACCATCAATGAAGGTAATTAATCTCTACGCTTCTCTTTCTGCAATTACTCTTTGAGAGCATCTCTCTCTATAATATCGAGTATTGCTGACTTGAGCGTCGGAGTGTTTTCTCCGAGGAAACATCCTCAGGATTTTCAAGTGTAGAAGCAGCTGAGAGTTTCAACAGTGTTGGATTGCGAAGCTGCCCAAACATTTGGCGTCATCCGTGCCCATCATTACGTTACACGCCCCTCTGGTAACCAATCAAAATGTTACGCGTGGCAGGTACTTATTGCTTGGCGTGTAACGTCCACTAGCTTTAGCTGTCATGTATCTTCAAACGCTGAGCCAACATTTATTAGGGGGGGATGGAGAATACTAACCGCTCTAAACCATATCTCTTTAAAGATTTCACAGATTTAAATTTCAAAAAGTGCAAGGACCAGATCGTAACAAATTCGAGATCTCCTTAGAGATCGACCTCTAATTCAAAATTTGAAAATTTTGAGAAATCTGCTCGTTACTAATCCATGATCTCTTTAGAGATTTCAAACTCGAAAGTCTGTAGAGATCAGATCGTAACAAATCAGAGATTCAACTCAATCTCGAACATCAAGCATCAGATCGTAACTAATTTCCTCAGCTTCACTCTATATCCCACATACCTATATTACAATGATGAGTAAGCTCATCGATTTCAGCCCGTATGGGTTGGTTGGTTCAGCTCGTTCATTATATGCTAGCCATCACTCTACTACAGAGAATCCATCAGGCAAGGTTGCCCTTGCGCACCTGCTCAGCTCGTTGACCAACGCCGAGCTTGCCTTACCTCAGCGCCAGCTTACTCACACTTGCTCTGTAGGAGGTCGGCATATACGTACACATCTGATTCGACCACCTTGGTTTCAAGCCGCTCAGATCGGCCGTGCATAAGGTCGTTCATGAACACAGAACATCACTCCTCATCCTCAGGGTCAAACACCGTGCTAGCAAGACTCTCAACCCTGTTCGTCAACCGAACGCTGAGGGGGGAGTAATGTTGGGATTAGGCCCAACACTCACTTCGAGCCACATGTAGCAGGCCCAACTATACACCCACGGGCCCAATAGGAGGGGACATACCCACATGGGCAGCGCCACGTGGGCCAATGAGGTGTTTACATGTACTGATGTATGTCAGCATTCGGGGTTATAAATACCCCCTGATTACCATCAATGAAGGTAATTAATTTCTACGCTTCTCTCTCTGCAATTACTCCTTGAAAGCATCTCTCTCTAGAATATCGAGTATTGCTGACTTGAGCGTTGGAGTGTTTTTCTCGAAAAAACATCCTCAAGATTTTCTGGTGTAGAAGCAGCTGAGAGTTTCAACAGTGTTGGATTGCGAAGCTACCCAAATAAAATCATTTTTCATTACTCATAGCTTTATTTTTTGAGCGAAAATTAGTTAAGCGCAATCGAAAAGAAAA